GAACAAATTGAACAAATGTCATTTTACTGGGCATGTTAAGAAGCTCAAATTATCTTAGTTTTGACCAAGATTTTAAAGGCAAGACCCAAATTTGTCTTGTTTATAGTGTCAAATATATGCTCAGCAGCCAGCACCAAGCTGTACATAATAGTCATTCCATTATCTACAGAAGAAATAGGAAGACGTAAATAAAACTATCCTAATGTGGTAAGAGAAATAAAATGGTAAAGATTCTGAGTCTTAGAGGAAATTTTTCTGCAAATTGGAAACCATCACTTAAAGTAGTAAAGTTAACTTACTCAAGTTAATATAGTTTAACCAAGAGTTGAGACTTCAATTCCTATATTTTTCCTTAAACATCATAAAAATAAAATCTATCAAAATATATCCATATTATGGGATTGCATAGTAATGTAAATATACTTCACACTACTGAAATATATGCTTAAAACTTAGAATGGTAAATTTGATGTGTACTTTACCACAATTAAAAAAAATCAAAACTGGAACAAAAATATCCCTGTGACAAAAAAATCCAAATTTAAATAATTACATATAATTTCTATTATATTTATAGATATTTCTACCAAAATAAAATCTGACTACATATGAAAATAAGACAATGAGTAAAACACTCAATTTTAAGTTAACAATTATTCAGAATCTTATGAAATAACCTTTTATAATAAGATTTTTTCTACCTTATCTACCATTAAAAGTAACTATGCAAAATGGCATAAGAATGAAACACAGTAATTTAACTTAGTTAGCCCAAATCCATTCTGGAATGAGGGGAAATTAACTAAGTTATTTTTATTGTGCTTCTATGTCAACAACAAAAATAAGCAGTGTGATAGTCATTATAACCATTCAACAATAATCTAGTCTTCTCTTTTCCTGTGGATATTGCTGAAATCAGGGATAGCCATGTGATATGCTTCTTGAAATGAGAAAGGAAAAGATGAACATCTCCAAGAAGAAACTAGTGCTTTAGCACATTCTTTTTTCCCCTTTACTATGGTAACTCTTAACATGTTAAAAACTGGCTGTCCTCAGCTAGGATTCCAGAGCAAAGACAACAATGAGAACAGTGTTCCAGCAAGCCAGAAAGGACATAAAGAGTAAGCAAAATAAATCATTGTATTAAACCACTGAGATTGTGAGATATTGACATAGCACAGCACAGAATACATCCTAACTGAAAAAGAATTTAAATACTGAATATAAAGCACTGGTATAAAAAAGTAAAATGGATTCCCACAAATGAAGAAAGGAAGGATGGGCAGGGGTGACAGGATTCTCCCCTTGTTCTCCACTTGCTCTGACACAAGGCTTCCATCAGAGTATAGATACCAGGGCATTACTCAAAGCCCTGCATGCCACAGAGCTCAGGCTAAGGGGCAAAATAAGTACTGCTACTATAGACAAGTTTGAAGAGCTGAGGGAAAGCTTTTTCTACCCTTCCCCTTCCCACTTGCAGCCAAGTATTGAGAAAAACTAGACTCCTCTGAACACTAACTTTATTCTTTCAGCCATGTGAAGAAATCATCGTCTTGAGAAAATTTAACAATGTTTGTCAATGAAGTACCAGGGCCCATTCCTTGGCATTTAAGTTCATCCACTACTATACAAATTTGTAGCCTTATAAACAATTTCACCCAGAGGAGTTATTTAAGAATCAGTTATTCCTCCTACAGTCTCTTGTTTACTACTGCCTTCATGAAGACCAAAGGGGAGCTGAACTTTGAACAGGAACCAGCTTCCTGTTCAAATTAAGTGACCAAATTACAGGGCTCAAAATTGGGAAATTCATTAGCTCATTTCATTTCTAACTTTTAGGACCATTATAAACCACAACAGAGTTTTGCCCTGGCTAATAGCAACTTAACCCCAAAGGGAAGTGGTGGACACCATAGGGCTTCATCCACTGAGAACAAGAGCCACTTTCCTGCACTTCATGAAAAGGCAGCTTTTGTTTGCTAAGCTATGCCTACAGACACCCTACAGAATGGCTTACTATTCCCCATCCTTGTTTATTGGAATTTCTTGCAGATCATCTTTACAAGTAGTATACTAGTAAGAAGCACTCAATTTCTGACCATCATCAACTGCTGAGTGTGGGTCTCCTTGAGGTTTGATCCTTCCCCTGATATTTAGCATGATAACCTGCAGTGAGTATATTTATGAACTTGGACAAGATACTGTGCCATTCCTGTGCCCAGTGAGAAATATGGACATGTCTCTGATAAACAAGGAATCAGAGATATTCTTTTGCTGCAATTCTAGCTCCTGGTAGAATCTCTCCAATGAACAACAGCTTAAGAGAACTTCTATAGCACAACACTAACCAAATACATCACTTTTATACTAATTGTATTTAGAACCAAATAATTATTTGTTGTGGCCACTATCCGTGGCAGTGCAGCAAGTATAGCAGAATCCCTGGTCTTTACCCACTAGATGCTAACAGCATCAGTTTCCTGTTCCCAGCCTGTGACAATGAAAAGTATCTTGAGATAGCACCTGTATGTCTTAGAGGTAGGGTGCAAAACCATACCAGGTGACTACTCTGCTAGAAGCTGGTTCCATTTCCAGCAGTTAGTATGACATTGACAAGAGGATGTATACTAGGACCAAGATGCCCCACCCCATCCCCACATGCTCCACTCCATTTGAGGCTGGTATAGAACTTGCCCTGAGATACCACTGGTAAACAGATTAACGGATTCTGCCCATAATTTGTCAGCAGTTGGCCTGACTCCCAGCAAGTAGAAAACAACGGAACCTTGATTTTTTGCTTGCTCTTCTTCCCATACCACACCATTCTCTCCTTCTAATACTTCCCTTTCCCTTTTGACTTTCTCCTACAAGTAGAGACATGATTCAAATAACTCAGATGATTTATCTTACAAAACAAGATGTAAACCAACAGCAAACTGCTACTGACCTGACCTCCTGCCACCACCACCCCCACATAATGTAGACATGTTCTGGTGTTAACTGGAAAAATCTGAACTGGGTCAATTCTCAGAAGTCTCTTTAGCTTGCCTAATTTACAGGGCCAATGAGGGCAGAAGCCCATATTCATAGATTGACCTCATGGACTAACTTATATTTTACCAAACCAGGAACATAGTCTGATCCTTAACCAAAGAAAAAAATTTAAAACAGGAAGGAAAAGATAAAAAGAATATACCTTTAATGCCAACTACAACTACATAAGTATCACATTCATAAACATAAAAAACCCACCACATTAAAAAACTATGTCTCATAAGCTAAAGGGGAAGAACTATATCCTTGCTCTATTTCATGCCAAAGTAAGTTCCATATGAATTTACAATGAAGTATAAAAAATGCAAACTTTAAAAGTTCTATAAGAACACATGTGGAACAATGCTTTAAAAACCTGGGTTGAAAAAAGTCTTTTATTTTTATTTTATTTTTCTGAGTTTCCCTCATAATAAATCTAATCATTTAATGTTGTTTAGAGTTCATTTTAAACATTCTGTAGAGAACATTATATAAATATTAAATTTTAAAAATCTCCATGGAATATATGCTATCATCCAATTTCATCCAATATTCATCTATAAAAATTAGAAGCTAGATTACATCATCTTTTAACAAACTTACAAGTCAAATTGTCTTGTTCTTATTGTCACTGGACAGCATTTTATTATTTTTGTGTAGTTTTTCAGAAAAGTACTAGAAACATATTGACAATTATTGTAGCCATTAATACATATATTATAAATTTCAAAATATATAGTTGGAAAGATGAAAGATAGTTGGTTGGAAAAGTTATCTTTGGCAGTTGTAAAATAGTAAATGGATTCAATTTGTATCAGACATTAGGATGATATACATTTGGTTTATCACTTATAATTTTATAGGTCATATTTCCCTGACTTCCTAAATTTCCAAAAGCATAAAGAGGCAGGGAACACCTATAAAATCTGACCTATAAAATTGATTAATCGAAAGTCCTCCAAACATGTTTTAGAAATTCCACATTTTACTGTATTTCCATCTAACTATTTTCCCTTTTAAATTGAATAGGTATTTGATTGAATTAACCAGTGTGTGCTGTCATGTAGGCCCAGATTGCATTTGAATGCTAGCAATAAAGAGCTTAAACACGCAACCACTTTCATTGACTGTTAGTAAGAACAGAAACGAAATCTGACCACAAATACCCGAACTTTGGCTTCACTGCCTCAAAGTTGTCTTCATGTGTGCTTGCTCATGAAAAAAGTCTTTTAATCAATGCCCAAAGTTCATAAGTTATATTAGAACAAATTTCTTTGACCAAACTCGTATTCTTCTAAAAATTTAGCTGATATATTTGTACATATGAATAAAGAAATATGTTTAACATAATATCAAAATAAAGCAAACTCAACTGGAAATGATCATCTGATGTCCACTGATGAAAACTGAATAAATAAATTATCTATACAACAGAATAGTACATAGTTATAAAAAAATGATTACAAAATTGGGTTGGGGTTGTGTTTCAGGGGTAGAGCGCTTGCACGGCATGTGTGAGGCACTGAGTTTGACTCTCAGCACCACATATAAATAAATCAAAAATAAAATAAAGGTCAACAGACAACTAAAAATCAGACTACAAAAGATTTAAATGTGGTAGTATAAGTGGATCTATTGGATAATGTTATAAACAAAACAAGCTAAAGGAATACTGTAATGGCTTCTCTGTCATGAAAAAAAAAAGAGTCACAGACAGGTTTTTGCTTTTATACAGAGTAAGTATTTTTAGAGGGACACAAAAGAAATTTATATGCTTGTTTCTAGGAAGGAAGACAGATCTGGAAAGGAAGCAATCTTTCTTTCATTGTATATCCTTTTAAGTTTATTAATTAGTTTTTAGATTATTCATAAAGTTCATCACAAAAAAGATCAAAAAGTAAAATTCAAAGAAAATGCATCAAAACAGAATAGCAAATGTCCTATATACTTAATGAGAGTATACTCACCTTTCCCGACAAAATTTAAGTGAATGTAGTATGGCAGGCCTTTTCTGACGTAAATTCCATAAGTGTAAGGTGTCATCAGCCAAGACACTCACAAGAGCTCCCTTAAAAAAAAAAAAAAAAGGCATATTTTATACATAAATACATCTTATAAACATTAATGCAACCAAACATTTTCTAAAAAATATCTCATTCTTAAACTTCAAAACATTTGCTTCTAAGAAACATTTACCTCACCAAATTCTAAACAGCAGATGTTGGAGTATACATACATGTGTGTGGATGTCATTTAATGATTGAACCTCAATACCTTCAAGTTTAACTTAATATCTTATGAAACAAAAGTGTAGTAGTAGTATATAGTAGGATACATGATTAAGACTTAGCTATTTAAAATTAGAGATTGGAATATAAATTAGTTGGTGACTACAATAAATATTTTCTGGACTAACAGCAAAATATAATATAAAATGTCAAATGTTTTCTCTGATATAAAGAGGCTGATTCATAATGGGATAGGGAGAAGGGAACATGGGAGGAATAGATAAACTCTAGATAGGGTAGAGCTGCTGGAAAGGGAGGGAGGGGGCGTGGGGTTATAAATGATGGTGGAATGTCATTATCATTATTATCCAAAGTACATGTATAAGGACACGAATTGTTGTGAATATACTTTGTATACAACCAAATATGAAAAATTGTGCTCTACATGTGTAATAAGAATTGTAATGCATTCTGCTGTCATATATAAATAAAAAATTTATGGGAAAAAAAGATAATTTCTTGTTTGTTGGGTTTTATTATTTAGGGTAACAAATGTTAAAGGGATTAAGGTTTGTATAACTCTAGTTACAAACAACTATCACTTTAGGTTATTATACTACACTATGGATTCTAAATTTTTCTTAAAAGTTAAACTTGGTTAATATAAGTAGACTGGTGTAATTGTGAAGCTACTACTGGTTTCTTTTATATTAGATGTATTCATGTCCCCCAAGAATACAAGTCTTTAAATAGAAGGTTTAGGAGAACACTTTACCATGCTGTTGTTCTACATCTAAAGTTGTCTGTAACACTGGTCTTTTGCAAACTTAAATTTTTATTTATGTCATTTGATGTTCTGTAATTAGATAAAAATAATCTGTCATAAGTTGTAAAATTTTGTGTTACTCTTTACTTTGGGATGGGCACTTTAATACATTTTTGGAAGACAATAAGGAGAGACTGGTTTATTTAAAGGTTGACAATATGGGATATGAAGAAATTTTGCCACTTTTCCACAAATGGGGTTAAAAGCTCTCTTAGCCTGTTTGATTCATGTTTCAGTTTAATGTGAAATTATGTTAACTGATTCATATAGGCCCAGGAAATGATATATGAAAATGTTGTAAAATAATATTTCAGGAAGAAATAAGGATCAGTTTCAGAAATAAAACACCTTACCTAAGATTTATCAAGAGGCCACCTCACTTGAGTTAAAAAACTCTGCCTCTCACCTTATTCCATGTTAGGATAACCACTCAAGTTCATTTGAAGTAAATTAAAGAAATAGGCATTTTTATAAGGATTACTGTGATTTTAAAATAAGGAGGAAATATAATATATAGCTAATTAAAGGTCTGGAATTGCAAAAATTATGTTTCTTGGTTCATAGCTATTATACAAACTAAAAATGTTTTTACTCTTGTAAAAAAAACCTGCTAGTCCTTATTTTCATGGTCATATTCATTTATTTTGTATTAATCTCATTCCAATACTCATGTCTTCTTGTTTCTCTGATAGAAGCACTCACCTCCCAGATGACTTTACAACCTGTTCTTTCCAAACCAGACTTTTACCACAGACCCTTCGACTGACCCAAAACATTCCTAAAAGGGAAACCCAAACTGCTTGCCCCATGTCGCCCCCTCTCAGCCTGAAAGAGCCAGACATGTCATTGCCCATTTCCCCTTACAGCAGTAAGGGTTCCCTTACTCAGAGGGAAGAATAAGACCAAGACAAAGGACAAGTAGTAGATTATATTTAATTAAAAAAAAAAAGGGAAATGGGGTAGATAGCACTCCCCATCACCAATGCTTTGGCACAAAATATTTCAAGAGACCTCCAGGATCAAAAGACAATTGATAATAAACTTGAAGCTAAGGTGAATGCCTTAGAGGCTATTGTAGTAGTCCTGGTCAGATACAAAGTCTTAAGGTCATACAACAATTATGATGCCGTGTCGTTTATTAGTTTATTTGTGTAACTAACACCTGTTCCATACTATATCTCCTAATGGGATTGGGAAAAGATAAAGATGCATCTATTGTGAATTTGGAATCATAACAATGTGAATTTATATCTTTTACAACTACACCGTTACATCCAAGTCATGCAAAAAAGTAAGATTCCTGTGTTATCCTCCACCAGTTTTACACAAAAAGCTGTTAGATGATTTGAATGGTTTCAATTATTAAAACATGCTAAAACATACTGCATGGTATCTCTTAGGACTTGTTTCCTTGCTCTTTATTCTGTGTTGTTTTCTCGTGGTCAGCTATAAGCTTGTCGGACAAGTTCTAGTTCCAGTACTTCAGAGTAGACATGCATAGTTTACGTTTAAAAAATAAAAAAGGGGGAGATGCAGAAAGTGGTGACTTATATCATGGTCTCTGACTGCCTTGTGGCTGTGGCTATGGCTGTGCTTGTGCTGGGAATTTTTGCACAAAGTTGCAGGATAAGATTGCCTAGTTGCTATAGTGATGCCCTGCCTGAGGAAGCTCTGTGCAAAGGCACAGAACTACATCAGTCTTAACTTTGAGCTCAGACACCTGTCATCAGTGAAAGAAAATTCTGAGCATAACAAGATAACCACAAGAGCCGCGACATTCAAGTCTGTCTGCTTTGCAGAAACATTCCCACAAATAACCTTTTGATGATAAAACCTATAAAAAAAATCTGCTATACTAGCTCTGGGTCTTTGTTCTTCTATCAGAGTTTGGTGTACCAACCAGTCCCAGGTTTCTCCTTGTAAGTGTGTATGTCTTTAAACCCCACATTGCCCCTGACCTGTTTCTAAGATTGGGCTATGTAAGTCAAGGAAGAGTTAGATCCTTTTATATTAATTTCAAAAGATTTGCAATCCCAATCCTTTATGTTATTATGAGAAATCTTAAAGTCTCCCCATTTAAAATAAGAGTTTTTCATCCAATTTGGAATGATTAAAATAGCTGTCAAAATAAGATATACTTCAAACCATATCTCCCAGGCCTTTCCACCTTCTAAATTCTGAGGGGTAACTCTTTTATGTAGGTCCTACTGCTATAATATGACAATTGGAAAGCTATCTGACATACATAAAGTACACACTCTCCTTTTACTAGAAAGCATTGTCTTATCTATAACACTCAGACCCTAAAAAAATTACACAATTACAAATTATTAGTATGATAGTTTTACTTAATTTTTTGTCATCTTTAGAATTTTACTTCCATGAAAACCTTTCTTAAATTCTGACATGAATATTCATCAAAATCCAGAGGTGTTTAGATATGTATTTTCCTATACATTACAAATTTATTCAATGTATCTTAAGGATTTGGGGGAAAAACAATGTTCACAAACTATCCTCAAATCTAAGGAGTTCATCAGAGCCCTTTCCGGAGAAATTTCTCTTCTTTCCTTCTACGACCATCTTTCCTTGCCTGTTGCCACTTACAGTGAAGATCTATTCTCAGAGCTGCTCATGTTGTTCTAAAATCTGCAAGCACAGCGTTTCCTGAGCTAATAAAATGTTGTTTACTCTATCTCTTTCTATATAGTAAATTCAAAAAGAAGGGGATTATCAATTACTTCAACAAATAAGCAGCACAACTTGAAGCAATATCCACTTTAAAATGAAAATTGGCTTCTTCCTGGTAGTATTTCTAAGCAATTCATTAGGGCTGGGGATGCAGATCAGGAGAACACTGCCTAGCATGTGCGAGGCTCTGGGTTCAATCCCCAACACCACAAAAAAAAAAAAAAAAAAAGAAAAGAAAGAAACAAAAGGTCAAAGTAATCCATTAAAGGAATTCTGTTACTTATAACAGGATTCTTATTTTATTAATTTTTAATATAGACTTTGTTATACAACTTTAAATATCCCTGAAATAAAATTAAATGCAGCATCTAGTACCAAAAAAAATTTTAACCTTATTCCATTCTGTTTGCAACTCTATTTTGAGAAATATATCATGCAACTCTCCACAATGATGACTAAAACTAAATTACAGTTACCTCCAACCCACAATAAATTAATTTTTGTTCAAATATTTAAATGTGAATGCATACAAAAAAACTGAAAGACCAGATGTAGCTCAATTTCAAATATAAAAAGGAATGATTAAGATAATTCACTGACCTCATTAATCAGGAACTGGAGCTGAATTACAGCAGCTCCACTGTCATGTTGGCAATAACATTCTACTCCCGGACGACCAAAGCTATCATAAATTCCATTAAGGAGTTTTTGATATATGTGGCCTTTTTTCTTTAGAGAAATTGATAAGTTATAACAAACTAATAAGTATTTTGATAACCTGATATTTAATAATATAGGGCACTTACTGAGGTGGAGATTTAGAGTTAGGTTTACTACACATTAATTAGTTTCTGTCGATAATCAGAAGTCTCAGAGATTACAGTTCTGAAAGAAATAAGAAAATAGATCCTTCTAGGAAAAAAATGAAGTATTAAATTCAGCAATATGGAAAAACAATAAATAGTTAAAATATTTTACTCTGGCCCAAAATCTTTTTTTTTCCTTTTAAAATTTTCATATAACAGAAAACATTTATATAACATTTTTTTATGTGCCACCCATTATTATAAACATGTTTCATAATATTAAATATTTTAATCCTCATAACCCATGGAAGAATATATTAATATTCCCTATGATAAGTAAACTGAAGTACAGAGAAATTACATAACTTGACCCAAGTCACACAACTACAAAGTAAAAGAAAAGGAATGTGAATATGCAACATGGTTCCAAGGTGTTCACTTTTTTCCCCCCAGTGCTGGAGCTCAAACCTAGGGTCACTGTCATGTTAAGGACAAACTCTACCACTGAGATGTACCCCTAGCCCTACATTCATAATAGGTATGCTAATCACTAAAATGGAACAAAAAAGGCTGTACACTCAATAGAATCCCCTGTGTTCAGTTAAATACATTTCACCTTCATAATCTTGATCATTTTAACATGTTAATACACTAATCCAATTTTCACTACTTAATAAATACTAATAGTAACCAAAATAAAAAACTTTGGTGGGATTTAATAAAATTATAACTCTCTCTATAAACTCAAATCCAGGAATACAGACATTTTATTAAGCTAGGGCTTAATAAAAAATTAAATTGTAGCATAGGTTCAATTTGTGCTTCTCCCATTTGATTTCTAGACATTTTCCTAGGTAATATTTATTTTCAGTAGGGTTTTTTTCTATTTTATACAATTAACTTCTATTTCATAACTTTACAGACTGATTTGAGTATGCTTAGCTTATACTCAAAACCTAGAATTACTGTTATTAGCAGTATTGATAATTGTAATAGTGTTTGACACACCAGTACAAATGCAACTACAGAAACCAGATTTCAAATTGCTAGTATTGGCACTATGCAAATCACATCAAAAGTCAAGAGAAATGTCTACATGCCTGTTCACACATTTCTTTTCTCAAGTGACAAGACAGATCATTACAGTGAGACTAATTCTAATCTTTTCAGCTAAATTATTTTTGCATCAATGACTATATTTTAAAATTCTTTTTACATGAATCTAGTTAAATTTTTTCTGAGCAGACCAGGAAAACTAATGTAAAAATTGTGAGCTACTATGGAGAATCATAAAAAATATATTCATCTTAATATTATCACAAAATATATATCACTTTACTAATCTTCTGATGTTAGCCCATGACCTTTCCTTTGAGTATGGATTCAGAGTTGTTTCTCTTGAATAAAACAGCTCTAACTACCCAGATTTAAGATTTCCAGTTTATTTGGATCCAGACTTGGTGTCCATTAGTGGATGAATAGATAAAAGAAAATGTGGAATATATACACAATGTTCTTTTTAGTCATAAAGAAAAATGAAAGTGTCACTTGCAGGAAAATGGACGGAAATTGAGAGCTTTACAGAAAGGGAAATAAGCCAAACTAAGGTGTTCAAGTGCCATATGTTTCTTGCATATGTGAAAGCTAGAGAGGAAAAGGAAAAAAAAAAAGTGGAGCAGGGATCTAACAAAAACTGAAGGGAGATCAGTAGAGTAGAGGAAAGGAATCATGGAGCAGGAGAAGTGTAAGGAAAGGGAAAATACTCAGGGATGATATTGGCCGTATTATATGGTTATGTTGAATGCATGTATGAATATGTAACAATAAATCCCACCATTATGTAGAACTATAGTGCATCGATAAAAATATAGAAAAAAATCATCCTGTATAAGTGGAAAAAAATTATTTCTAGCTTAATTGTTTAAACATATCTTAAAAGATATTGGCTGTGAAATTCAAGTTCAGCATTCATAAAAAATGTTATTCCTTCTCAATCATCTACAGTTATGATGGGAAATTTTAGCATGGAAAAACACAAACTATAGAGTACAGAGTTCTCAATCTTGTTATCATGTTAGAATTCTAGAACCACTGCAAACGTATTGCCAGAGAAGATGCCTGGGTGGGTAGGTCAGTTATTTAGTTAATTTGCTTATTTATTTATTTTAGGTGCCGCAGGAACATCTGAGACACAGTGAGAATGGAAGATCTCTAATTTCAAGTCAGTTCATATGCCAGTTCTGCCATTATCTGCTGTAATATAATGAGAATTATTGTAACTTTCAACGTTGTAATCTGTGAAGTAAAGATGAGACTCATTAATCTAATAGCAAACTAATTTGTTATTTATTGAAATAACAAATATTAAATAACAAGTTCTTTATATAACCTAAAACTAAATGTTATTTTACAGTGAAGGTGCCATTATAAGAAAATGTCAATTTTGAATATCAGATCACCAAACAGCATGCCACAGAAACAAACATTCACATCCTTTCACACCTATGGTGATTACTGCTTCTGATACATGTGGATCTTCCTAATACTAACATCTCTGAGAGTTAAAATTCTTATTGGAAAATGGCCAAAAACTATAAAAAAGATCTGCTTGGTATATTATTCCCATATATCATGGCTATATTCTTTACAATTAAATGAAAAAGCAAAATTTTTTACATTAAAATGAAGATGAATCAAAAGACGAGTACATATTGAGTAATGGTATAAATATATTTGTTAAATGGAGAAATATTATTCTGATATATACTTTTTATACATGTATGAATCAACTATAAGGCAAAGCTAACAATAAATCTTATCTTAGTACACTGTCTCACCTTATAACTCTGAATTCCAATATAATTTTTTCAAAATGGTACCATCATCGTAAGATAACTTTGTGTCCTCAATTTTTCTACTGCTTGCCTATCCAGAGCTATGATATCTACCTAATCTTGTTAGTCATCTTTGTTTCTGGGAAGAACCAGTTAATTTATCTGACCCATGTCATATGGCAGATACTTCTTGCACAGTTACATTCATGGTCCTTGTCCAAAAAAGCACCATTGATAACAGTCACACTTATGAAGAGGAGATGCAGAAGCCAAAGTTAAAATATACTGGGAGCAGAGACTTTGAATGTTAAGGTTAGTTAATTGAGACACATAAACAATAGGGGGAAATAATTATAGAAGTAAAACGCACAATGAAACTAGAAATTAAGTAGGAACTATCAGGAAGAAGTATACAACATTGATGAGCAGAAACAAAAAGCTTGTTTACTTATAGAACTATACATCAATTTAAAAATAAACATGTATCCAATTGCCTAAATTGACTATTGTTGTTGCTGTTATGATGTTGGCTGGGTGACTGGTTAGGAAGGGAGTGATAAAGGAGCAACTAGGATATTCTTATATCCATCATCCATTATCATCATTGAGATTTATGAAACATTCGCTAGGTGTCAATAACTATGGATGTATTACTTCACAACGGTACTTCTGTGACAAGTTGTTTTTAATAATTAAGAAGAGTCAGGTACAATAAGTAAACTGCCCAAGGTAATTTGTATGTTAGTTAAGATAACTGACCCCAGATAATCTAATTTCAGAACCTACTGTGTAAATCACCAAGCTTTATCATACAAAAATATATGTTAAGAGCTGAATTTCACATGTAAATTTGTCACTTCCTACCTTACTGTAAGTCGTCTTAAAACTGGGAGAATGAACATAGAAGAGATTTATTATCCATATTTTACATATGAGTAGCTAAAAAACTCAGATTGTTCTAATACTATAAAGTTGGACCAAATGTAACTTTTAGTAACAAGTAAACCAAGTAAATGGTTATCCTTAGGTAGCTGGGGTCATGCCGTTAAAGGGACAGTGGGACCTTTGTCTCTCAGTCTTTCTTTTGCTTTCTGGCTTATGAGAGGTCTGATCAGTCACATACTCCCTGCTATTGCCATCCAGCAGAGAGGCCCATGGAAATGTGGCCATCTGAACTTGGACTGGAAAATTTAGAATCATGAGCTAAATAAACTTTTTCTAAGGTAAACGGCTTATGTATTTCATTATTATACTGTGAAGCTCATATGAATGGTACACAATATTCCAATCAAAAAATACAATACACTCATTTTTCATATTAGCTCAGGGTCTAATATTAAATATTAATTTTAATAACAAATCAATGTGTCCCATTAGGGTAAGTAAAATGAAATTCTATATTTCAATTTTAGTTCTAATTTTGAAACTACCATCTTTTTTTTTTTTTTTTTTTTTTTTTACTTGTAGGTGGACACAATACCTTTATTTTATTTATGTGGTGCTGAGGATCAAACCTAGGGCCTCAAGCATGGGAGACGAGTGCTCTACCGATGAGCCACAGCACCAGCCCCAAACTACCTTCTTGCATATGCTTCATGTCTAAATATTTAGAGACTAGAGCCATGTGAGAGCAATAAAGCAGCAAACAAACAAATGGAGTCTTGGGTTTAGTTCAGTGGTGGAATACATACTTAGTATTTATGAAGTCCTGGATTCAATTCCCTGCATAAAAAAAAAGTTTAGTATATCAAACACCATCTTACTAAAGATAATACAATATGTTAGAGAGAGAGATGGTGGGGGAGAGAAAAAAGCTTGCAGAATTAATGAAATATACTATGTTAGTAGAATAAAGGACAAAAATCACATTGTCATTTCAATGGGCATAAAAATTTATAGACAAAAATCAATCATTTTTCATGATAAACCACTCAATAGAACCAGGAATAGAAGAAAACTTCTTCAATGTAACAAAGGACATCTATGAAAAAGTCACAGCTAAGATAACATCATACTTAATGGTGAAAGACTGAATAGCTTAT